GATTTTTATGGAAAAAATGTTTATAGAAAGAATGGATATACTCATCTTTATCTAACATAGCGTTTTTGGTATTAATTCGTCTTTTTCTAACACATTATTCAGTGCGGAGTATACTACATAATCGAATTCTGCTTATTCAAAAAGTATTATACATCATCTATACGAATCCAAACACGATGGGTAAATAAACATCCGATTTCTACAATGTATGTTGATAATTTCTTCTTCTTCAGATCTTCATATCCTTTCCAGTTCTATTGAAGATGAAAACTCATGCAGTTGTTGACATACGTAGTTTGGATTTTCTTGACATTTTCCTATTTGATTATTCAACCAAAGTGTCCTGGTAGCTGATGTTGACTGCGTTGGCATATTCACCTTTACTTTCATTTTTATCTTTCCCTTCGGGGGTATTGGAAGTCTTATTCTTCAGAATCATCGATACTGCTCTACTCCATTTCCATTGAGAATTTGGAATAGGGAAAAAGACAACGAATGACATCTACCAATTTCTGTATGAAAATTCAAATTAACCCGACCTATATCTGATGTTAAAAAAATGGGAGAACTGTTATCAACAATAATTACTATGTGCTCGATATCTTTCAATTTATAACAAAATACGGTATTATATCGATGATAATATTAACCATGATCTGTTTTGATGACATGCAGAAACAAAAGCTATTTCTTATTTCCCCCTCTTTTTCGTTCACTTATTTTTTCTTGTTCAATTTCCTTCCTCTCTTTTTATAATTGTTCTGGCATGTTCTGGCATATTTCAGAACACTCTCTGGCAATAGCTAGTACTTGAAATATTTCAAAAATACTCCATTTTCGTTTAATGTAGGTTTGTTTTACTTCTCAAGTTATAACTTGAATCTGTGAGTTAATCGAGGAGGTGTTACTTTCGATTATTTGAGATCTATTCTCCTCGTTTCCACAAAATGAAAACATAGTGGAAGAGCAGCGTCAGTTGAACTCCGCCAGGTTAAATAAAGGCAATTTATTATTATCATTATTATTATAAATTTAATTTCAAGAACGGGGGCAGATTCGTTCCCAAAACGGCCGAAGATTAGTGAAAATTCAATATTTTTTCAATATATCTATATTTCTTCGCTTCAAAATTATTTGTTACAAACAAAATGTCAATGACAAGCTATTGAATTATTTTTAGGCTCCCTGATAGTTGAACTGAGTAACATTTCGTGGCAAATCATCTGATTTGTCCTAATACACATATATTGAAATAATAGTCATATTCTCATTTTGTAGAAACGAGGAGAAAAATTCCCAAATAATCAAGAAAAATTGATATAACTCTCGAGTCTTCCGTATCCGAGTTTTGATTCATAAAAGAAACATTCACGTTTGAACATATCATAATTTAGTTGTTCGGAGTTCCCCAATTAGAATACAGCCGAATTATCGTAGTAGTATTGCATTTCGGAAATGGAATGCGATTGACTGAAGCTCTAAGTGAAGATGGGAAATTGAAAGTAAGAACTCTGAACTTGAACTGGTTATAATAAAGATTCACAAAATACTCTTCTTCACCTTCAACAACGATGATGGTTCAGGGATTCTACGTCTCATCGAGTTGAAAGAATACAATTTTGCGAACTGGAGGATGTCCTCTTCATCTTCCGTCCACCGACATCCTGCTACAAATTCCGAATAACCACCGATATTCCGCGAATATACGCAAAAAGATCATCCGATGCAAATTCATCGGGATCAAAAGGCCGGATTCCTTCCCTTTCATTATATTTATATAAATATCAGGATAACGAATTCCTTGGGCGACGTATAGTCGGTGGCTTCCTCTTTAAACCAAAACCGCGGCAATGCATTGTGGAACATCTACAGCACTGTTCCTGAAACAATGCTTTCCTGATTTACGCCCGAAGAACGGGACGCGCTTTGTGCCCAAGTGTACTTTTTAAAATTATGCCATTTGTAAAACCAGAAGTGCTAACTGAACAAAAAGAAGTCGAGTTTTTGTTGCTTTCCTCGTGTTATGGGACGTACTTGGCTAACATTTCCAAACTGATATATGGCGGTGATAATGCTGTTACATTTGAAATATAATAGTGAACACAATGAGGTTGACCACTAGGCTCTGGCACGCTTTTGTCGAGGACCTTCAAAAATAACTGATTGTGACAATAATTTTCAAACTTCGAAGAAGCAGAGACACTAAGTGAACACTTCGAAATAGAATCCTAGTTCAAAATTATACATATTCCCTAATTCTTGTATGTAAATTTTCTCCCAAGAGAATTGATTAAAATCGAGTTGATTGGATAACTCAGATGTCGCTATATTTCTTATTTCAGGAATTAACAATCTTCAAACCCATTAGTGCATGAAGTAACTTTTTTTCTGATCTCTTTATTCTGAAGATGTATACTCATCCAATATAACTAAAGAATGATAACTCATGACAAATATTTCTTTGTTTACAACAGATTTTTTTATATGACACGTCCATGTTAATGGACTCCATGCAAATTGGTTCATTGATGAAAGTGATCAGTAGGGAATTTCAGTATTCATTTATATTCATTCAAGTACATATCCAGAACATGAAAATCTCAATAACATCAATCACAATATTATCAATAATAATAATAATAATGGAAATTATACATCATGATGACTTGATACATTTTGAAGCATCTCTCAGATGCAGTCCTATTTTACATATAAAATTGCGATTTTGTATACTCTACTGAATGGAATTTAGCTGATGGGTATATGGAAATGCATCATGTCAAGAAATTATTTGGGATGATACTTTCTGACCTTTTTTTGGTGCTCTTCACACGATCCAGTGGAGGGAAATGTGAACCCGTTGAATAAAAAGAGGAGTCGGACGAGTGGATGTAGTCGTGTCTATAGTTGACGTGCTGCAGTATAACGTACAATCATTCGATGCTATAATATTTCTTTTCATAATGCAAAGATGTATATTATCTTCAATCCCATCAAAATGAGATCAGAATAAAGAAAGTCGCACGGCTGTTCGATAATTCCTTTAGAAATATGATTTATTTTGGATTTGCAGTTCCTAAATTCGAATAACTGCATTCCTGCCAACTTTTCTTCTGGAGGCAATATAATATATGCATATCCGTTGGTTGATCGATATCTGAGCCATTTTCTATATGTCTAAGAAGTGTTCCAAGAATGATCTGCAGAAAAATCTTGATGACCGATAAGCATAGAGTCCATTATATGGACACAACACAAAAGCAATATTTTGAGTGTCTTACAAAAAAAAAATTATTCGAATCACCTCATAGGTTCATGAACACAGGCATATAATGAGATCTTGAGGGATATGAAATTCTGAAATTCATTATACTGCGTTATAATAAATACTTACCCTCCTTGTCGGGTACAATACAAAATGTTATCCATTTGATCACGTGCAGAATATTGTCGAGATGAAAATTCATGAAATAGAATCGATAGCTGTTTGTTGTTGAACTACAATAATAGTTCTGGCGCATGAAACATTCAATGCCTGCATGATTGACGTCACAAAAAATTAGAGAAGGAGCGTCCATTATAAGACACATTATGCACTAATGGGTTTGAAACCAAGGATTCTTGAATAATTTTCTTGTTACGAGTTACTATTATTAATCATTTCTTCAAAAATCAGATCATAGGACAATGATTATGAAGATTAGTACATCTCCATCAGTTTGTTAAGATGAGGCTGAATATCTTCTCAAATTTGCTGTTGCCTGGACATGTTGCCAGACTTATAAAACTGACGCTTGTCTTTCGTTTTCAAGCAATAATGATATAGTGAATAATGATAGATAGTATATTGCTGAATGATATGGCTATGTCTTCATAATCTACAATTTATGACTTTCTGCGAGTTATTCCTTAGAATCGAAAATTTCAGAGTATATATCGATTGTAGGTACTGTACTCATTGCATTTTTATATTGTCGTTGCAAATAAGATTCATATGATTCTCAATTCTTTCAATATCATCGTATCAGTTTCTCGTTCTCTAGGAAAGAAGAAGAAGTGGGTAAAGGTATAAAAAAAACTTGTTCGACGTGGCATCAAAAAGTCAGGAGGATATAGTTGTTTTTTGTGGAATATTCTGAATGATATCATGTACATATATATCTTTATAAGGAGGATAATGCAAATTCTCAACTTCAGAAGATTTCATTCTCGAATTTTCATCATGTTTATGCAATAGATATTTATAATTCAATGATCGTTGTTGCATATATCTAGCCTGGAAAGTAGTTGTTTTTTGTTGAATATACCGAGAAAAAATGTAATGTAATTCTTCGAATAAATTTAATTTTTTCTATGTTCATAATATTATGAGATATTTTTCTCCAATACCCTATCAAGGGGTTAGGACTTGAAGCAGATTCGTGATTTGAGTTCCTCAATTCAAAATATTTTTTCACGTCCTGTATGTATAACGCATATTGATTTGTCATACATCCAAAAACAAAAGCATACCCAGGTTACAGGAGTTGAATGTCAACAAATATTCCTCAGTGATCATGCTCGTTTTTACAATTTTGTGTGTCGTCAATTAAAGCAATGAGAGATCTTCGTGTTTTCTTTCTACTCCTGAATATGATTGATGTATAACTTGGATCTGAAATCATTATTTTTATCGATCCAATATACAGGGTGAAACTCATTCAAATGTATTACAGACGTGAGCACCAATAGAAAAATCTAATTATACGTTTTGTTTCAGCTCGGTGCTCAAGAAAACAACACAGGCCGCCTCCAGCCATCCGCCTATCACCCCCAACAACAACACAAAGCCGAATCAGAATCCCCAACCCCAAGCTGAAATAATTAATTTCCAAGTCTGAAACTTCGACGTTCCTTAGTGTTTTTCCGTGTCCGCCTGCATCGAGACCAGATTTTTCATTAAAACTTTCCCGCAGATTAATACCCCCAATAACTCACGATGGTGTTCCCCACGTAGAATCATGGCCACAGAGGGAGTGCGAGTTGTCCTATGCGCGGTTGCCATTTTTCTCACGGCGCGCTGCGACAACTCCTTCCTCAAGAACGCCAAGATCAGCCCGCGGATCGTCCAGACTCGGTACGGTCGGATGCAGGGCCTGCTGGTGCCCATGGACGCCCACCGATACCTCAAGCCCATCGAGGCGTTCCTCGGGGTGCCCTACGCTACTCCGCCCGTTCAATCGAATCGGTTTAGCCCCACCAGGGCCCCTAGTCCTTGGGAAGGGGTGCGGGTCTCGGATAAAGCGGGGCCTGTGTGCCCGCAGAAGCTGCCTGATGTGGCCAATGAGACGGCTGCGCTTGAGAGAATGCCGAGGGGTCGGTTGGAGTACTTGAAGAGGCTGCTGCCTTATCTGCAGAACCAGAGCGAGGATTGTTTGTATCTGAATATCTACGCTCCGACGCAAGGTGAGTGATTTACCTGAATGATGTTTTTTTGGTGTCATGGTGATGGTCTGGCTTTGCAAATGGATAATGAAGAAATTGAAGCACCACCAAAAAGTAGCTGAAAATTTAGGCAACATGTTCGTCAAAACTACTTGTACTATTTGAACGGGTTAAGTTCTGAATGATAGGTAATTTTCTTCTCAAAATCTGTGAGCAAACTGTATCAGCATAAGAACTTTTTTTCAATGAATACCGCACTCAGAGAGATGGTCGGTATAAGGAATTCCAAACGTTTAGTAAAATAGGCGCCAGTTACTACATTCATCAAATAATACCACAACACAATAATTGTATTATACTGTATCATGAGTATTATACCAATTTGTAGCGGTAATATCTGATATAGTGATAACCAAGGAAATAAGGTAGGAATTGGTATTCTTCTTGAATTTCTGGAGGTTATATGCCTCGGTGAATACCTTCCTTGGCAATATGTTCCAGAGCCTCGCTGTCCGTTGGATGAACAAGTCTTTGGAAAGAGATGTTCTGCAGGTCTCCAAAATGGCCACGAAAGGGTGCGGCGGGTTAATCTCGCGGAAACTGCCAAGGAAGGAACAATTGTTGATATTTCGGAAGAGCATCGTCCATGAAAATATCTATAGAATGGAGCCCGATCGCCGACTTTTCTACGGTGTTCCAGAGAAGTGAGTGAGTTTGTTAGCATTGCAACACCCACGAGACGAATTGCACTTTTTTGAACAGAATCCAACAGTTCCAGGGTATATTTGGGTGCTGCACTCCAGATAGGGGTACAGTATTCCAGGACAGGTCGAATCTGCGCCTTATAGATCATAAGCAGCTGACTGGAAGTGAAATAGCTCCTGGCCCGAAACGAGAGAACAATAGTTTTCGGGATGCACTTTTAGCAATTGATCTCATGTGATTTTCCCAAGAGAGATTATTGCTGATAGTAATATCAAGCATCGAAATTGATGTCTTCAAAGGTATGGTTACTTCTGACAGCTTATGATGGGCACAGTGAGATCGGCTTTTCTAGAGAAAACGCATGCTTGTGTTGCATTGAAATCTTCCAAGCTATTGGATCCCAATTCGAGAATTGTTGGCAAGTCCATATTTATGTTGTCAATATTTCTTCCTCGTTCAATTTTGATTTGCCTGACTGGTATTGGAGCCCTGGAAAAGAAGGCGGTATGGAGGGTACTATCATCCGCCAAGATGGGTACTGGACAGGTAGTTGCTTCCAACAAATCGTTGATATGGAGGAGGAATAGTGTTGGTGCTAGAATTGATCCTTGCGGAACACCAGCATTTATTATAAGAGGATCAGAAGGAACTTTGTCGATCACTACATGGAGAGACCTGTTTTAGAGAAAACTTGCTAGCAGAAAATATAGCTGGGGAGGCAAGCCATAAGATGGGAGCTTGACGAGGAGTCCGTTATCAATATGAATTTGAAAGTAGACGTTAGCCTCATCTTTCTTCAATATTCTCCATTTGTCAAAGCATACCATCATGATTTTTTTGTATTCAATTGGTACTATAAGAACGAAAGTAGCAGGCTACGCATCGAGCTTGTGATAATAAATGGAAGTCCCACAGCTGAAAGGTACATATCAGTGATTACATAACCACATGTTGTGTCAGGATTTTCGTTGATGCAAGATAATTCCAGGCCCCACGTCGCCCGAATTGTGAGAAATTATCTAGAGGAAGTCTGTATCGCTACTATGGCATGGCCAGCTCAGAGCTCGGATTGAAATCTCATGGAGAATTATTGGACATTATCGTGACAAGATAACAAGAGGAACGTTACTCGAATACTTCAGAAATCGCACCGCAGAGACTGATGATTCGAATTTGGGAAGACCTGGACCAACATGACATTGGGTTTCTTATTTTGAAAGTAGTCCGTCTTTGCCAAGAAGTTTTCCGTGTCCGCGACAACAATATTCACTACTGAACCTTTTGTTCAACTTGGGACATCGCATTCTCCTTTCGTTTTTCCGTTCCATTTATTGGATTTCACTTTTCCATAAAACCATGTTACGCATAAAATGGTGTTTCTGTTACCCCAGTAGCTCGAATCTTGGCTGGATATTGGCTCCATATTGGGCCAATATTGGCAATATTGGGCCAATATAGGGAGTGGATTCAGAAAAGGAATGTCGAAAGGAGGTAAGGCTAATATGTGGGTTCAATTCTAACTCGATATTGTAATTATTACACTCTACGTATTACGAATAATTCCATGGAAAAAAAACAAGCTATAATTGCTACACCTGGTATGTATAAAAAGAGGTTTCTATGAGAATACATTGTGCACATCATTGTTGAGAAGGAAGTAACCTGTCATTCAAAACTAAAAACGTCCAAATCGGACGATGTTTCCTGAACTCCTGTCTACTTTTTGGTGGTGAGTTAATTTCTTGAAAACGTTAATTTTCAATATGTTTTTTTCTTGATTTACTGATAGCAATTAGTTGGTAGATCACAAAACCCTTTTTCTCCAAGCGGCATGAAAAGTGGCTTTCCTCTGACACTCAACAGGTAGGAAAGTTGTACTTTCTCTGCCTAGGCAGAAAAAGTTCGTTGCTTATGCAACATCTCAACGCTCGGGCTATGAACAACCAGCCGTGACAGTCAATCTACTACTTTGCTGTCTAGTGAAACGAATAACTATATTACCTGTGTCACTACTCAATTTGAGTCAAATCCTGGGCACAGCGATTTTATTCCTGCTGTTATACGGGACATACTTTCGTCACGTGATAACGAGTTGAAACAAAATGTGATTATTGGAAGTCAAGGTCCTCTTCCAAACGTGCCACAATTCAAACTCTGATCTAAGTTGAATCGTCAATAGTTCCGAGAATATTTGGTCCCTGTCTGAGTATAATATCCAATGAACCAAGTGAAACGTTTACAAGCATTCGAATTCACATGAGTTTCATGCTGGAGAATGGGTTCAGTGTTCTGGTTCTTCGGATATTATCTTTATACAGGGGCGAAATATTCTCAGTAATATTGACGCTATCTCAATAACTCAGATCAGTTTGAATCACGGTATGTTGAGATATTCGCGAAGAGGACAACATTCACTTTCAATTTCCTTTTTGTTTCAACTCGTTATCACATGACGAGAGAATGTTCTGAATAACAGCAGCAAAAAATTGCTGTGCGAAGGATTTGATTCAGATTGAAGGGTAGCACAGTTAGGGTTCCTTGATCTACCATGCAAATGCTATCGGATGAGATAATCCTCATTTCGTTATCAAATCTCGAAATTTTGAAAAATCACCGCACAAGAAATTGCAATTCCTCAGTAATTTTGCTCAGGATAGCACAGTTGCCGTTCGGTAAAATACAATGTTCTTACATGCCTTTGGGACATGTATTGTGGTTTCGTTCTCAGATGACGGGCGAAATTTGCATTTAGCTCGCTAAATATAAAGGCAAGCTAGACCTAGATCAAATAAGGTTCGCCTGGTTTTCTTTATCGACCCGATCTGAATCTATAGTTTCGTTATCAATAATATGTCGAATCTGTTTGCCAATGTTTGAGTATATTTGATTTGATGATGAATAAAGTTGGAATTTTGATTGGCAATTTCACTTCGTCTTCCTGATTGGAGTTGATATTTTTGGTGGCTATAATATTTATGTCTTGATGAAACAGACAACAAGAAAGTTCCACGTGTTGCTCCAACGAACTAGTTTGTTCATGTATAGTGTCGACGCGTAGCCGTGTGTGAATGAAAACAGTGGCGCAACCAGGATCACTTTCTAAGGGGGGCACAAACGTTTGTGTGAATGCACATTAAAGTGCTTCCACGAAATCATACGATTATGCTATTGCTAAAACCAATCACATCACAGAAAGGAATAAAGAATAATGAAATAAAAATAATAAAAATTGTTTCTTATATCATATCGCGAATAAAAAATTGACATATAAAATGCAGATACAATACGGATGGATATGATGGAAATTATAACAGAAATCTCTTTTTAATGGTCTCATTGATACGAAGGCGCTTAAGGGCCACCTATTCTTTTTTTACATTAGTTTCAGAAGTGAGAGGACTTTTTATGGGTCAACATTGACTTCTTTGTGGATATTCAAATTGGCTTGCTTATTCAACCTTTTCGTCCCAACCAAATTTCTCTCGAAATTTCTACACGAAAAAATAAATCACTAACCCTAAGTGGATATTTAATAGTGGCAAGAGGAAACTTGTATACTATTTGGGACAAGGAAACAAGTTAATAGCCACTAAAATATACTTACCCCTATCAACCTGTTCCATCAAATTTCAGATTAATATGCGTTAGTGAGCACAGCACTTGTCATTAGTGACTTATTCGCTCGTTATCAGTGACTCATTCACTTGTCATTAGTAAATCATTCACTTGTCGTTAGCGACCTATTCACTTGTCATTAGTGACTAGTTCATTAACGATTAGTGACTTATTTACTTGCCAAGTGTTCGCTTGTCATTAGTGACCTCATCACATGTCATTAGTGAATTATTTACTTGTCATTAGACAGGAACTATGGAAATTACATAACTTGTTTTCTGAAAAATGTTTACCTTGGCAAGAAGACAAAAATGCATGCATTTCAAACATTTATTGTATAGCTATAATGAATCGAGAAATCACAAAAAGGTAAGGCTGACGACAAACATTGACCGGGTATATCAGGATCATGCGCCCGAAAAATGGTTCATCAGATGCACTGGTATTCACTTTTCTTTCTTCAGTGATGACGATAAAGAAGTTAAATTTGAATTAACTTTCCTACTCATTGAAGGTCACTTTCTCCCAATTCGAGTATCATCGAAAGTGGAAAAGAATCCTGTATATGACAACAAAAATTATTATGTACTGTCCTGAGGTATGTATTTCATTATCTTCTTCAGAGGAATAACAGATCGAGAACTCAGCACCTCACAGGTCAGAGCGCGGAACACAAACAGAGAATCATCACGAATATGATATAGCAGTT